CATAGAGGAATATACTAAAAGACACCACAAGAATGCAATTGGCCAAATCCAGAATTTGGACTATTCTATCAAATTAAGAACTTCAACAATTTCTTCTTTTTTTAATTTCTTTAATCCTCACACAAGGATTTTTTTTTTTTTTTTTTTTTTTTTTTTATTGCTGAGAGAAACAGAGACAGAGACAGAGAGATGGAAAGACAGAGAAAGAGATTCATCTCCATCAGTTGCCTTCTCATACATGCCCCAACCAGGGACTGAACCCATGACCCTCCGGTCTACGGGAGGACACTCCAACTAAATGAGCCACACTGGCCCAGGTAGAACTTCCAACAATCTCTTCAACAACTAAATGGTAGTGCTCTCTGCCTACCCCCGCAAAAAGAGAGAGAGAGAGAGAGAGGCGGGGGGAGAGGGAGAGGGAGAGAGGAAGGTAGGGAGACTACAGATTAAGAGAGGCTTAATAGATATGTCAACCAAATGCAATGTGCCTACTGTGTTATGTGAATCTTGATTTGAACAAGTCAACTACAAAAGGATATTTTTGAGATATTGTAAAAAATTAAACAATGGCTGGATTTTAGATGATATTAAGAAGAAATAATTTTGTTCGGTGTTTAAAACTACTGTGGTTGCTATTATAAAAGGAGTCCCTTAACATAAATTATGGACTTAGTTAATAACAAGGTATCAATGCTGGTTCACCAATTGCAACAAATTACCATACTAATGCAAGATGTTAATAATAGGGGAAACTGGGAGTGGGGGTGAATATGGGAACTCTACTTTCTGCTCACTTTTTCTGTAAACATAAAATGGTTCTAAAAAGTAAAGTTAAAGAAAAACTGGAACATGGGCTTCCTCTTCAATGAGGTCCTCTAACCTATTCTTAAAACTGGTCACCTGAGGCATTTCCACAGCCTTACTACTTCACTTTTCTAGTAACACATATCCTGCCCTGGTCAGATAGTTCAGTTGGTTGAAGCATCATCCCGTATACCAAAGGGTTGCAGTTTGATTACTGGTCAGGGCAAGTACTTAGGTTGTGGGTTCAGTCCCCAGTTCTGGGGGGCTTATGGGAGGCAACTGATTGATGTTTCTCCCTCTGTTTCTCTTTCACTCTCTGTCTGCCTGTCTCTCTCTCCAAAATCAGTAAACATATCCTTGGGTGAGGATCAAAAATATAATAGTAATTTAAAAAATAATACAGACCCCCGAAATTTTCCTCAGGTTTAACATAAACTACCTCTAATATATTCTCATACTATTTTTTATGTGTCCTCGTGAGGGTAAGTGGCAAAGACTTTCTATGTTCCAAGAGATGAAATTTAACAGATTCCCAAAATCATCAACAGAGCTCTCATAAGCAAAGTAATAACTGTCAAATTTTAATATATCTCCAAACACCCACCACCAGAAACTCTCAAATTTCATGATACTTTGTAACTCTATAAAATGAAGAATATTTTCATTTTTTTTTTAAAAGGCGCCCTTAACTATTAGATAGAGATACATACTTAAGTATTTATAGATGAAATTTGTCTAGGATTACTTTTTAAATACTCCAGCAAGGTAAGGGGAAATGTTAAAGGAGTAGGACAGAGATGCAACAAGATTGGCCAAATACTAATACTTACTGATGCTGAGAATTAAATACATGAATGTTCATTATATAATTCTTGATTTTTTTAGTATATTTGAAATTTTTCACAATAAAAAAATTAGGGGAAAAATCAAATTTAAGATTTTCCTGGCTGTTGTAGCTCAGTGGATCGAGTGTTTTTCTGTGAACCAAAGGGTTGTTGGTTCAATTCCTAGTCAGGGCACATGCCTGGGTTGCAGGCCAGGTCCCCAGTGGGGGCCACACAAGAGGCAACCACACACTGATGTTTCTCTCCTTCTCTTTCTCCCTTCCTTCCTCCTCTCTAGAAATAAATAAATAAAATCTTAAAAAATGATTTGCCTATCTCACTTGCAGGATTCTAGACACATATCAGATTTTATTAAGATTGTAATGGAAATCTAATTTTTTTAAAAGTATTGGTAGTAGGTTTTCGGGGTACTGCAGAATTACTAGTAATCAGAGTTAAAATCATAGGACATAATATTTTTTCTTCTTACACCAGCACTGCACATGAAACTGTTTTTTTAAAGTGGTATATGGTGACATACAGCTCAAGAGATCATGAAAATGCAGAAGTGAAGATAGGTAGGAAGTCACTGAAAAACACTCATTTAAGATGGGAGAAAAGAGAGAAAAAGAATCTGACAGACTATGGAGGCAATTATCCACCCCTTTTACACAAAGTTCCAAGCAAATAAACTGAAAAACAAAGGTCTAAAGGTACTATAATCACAAATGGAGAGAAGAAACAAATGGGTATATAGAAATGTATCTGAACAATAATATTAATAAAAAGAAAAGCTTAATAACTTTTATAGTTGTATTTACTAGAGATACTTTAGAGAATAATAACAGTGTAGGACAAGCACTACCTAATAGGCCTATAGACAGACGATTTAGTTTTTATAAGTGACTAAAACATTCAAACACACTTCTAGCTTGATTCAACAGAGAATTTTAGGATTATCTAGGATATATCTAGAATAGTTCAGAAAGCTTCAAAAAGAGAATAATCTGATATAGTAGCATAGGGAAGGTCATTCTGAAGAAAAGATGGAGTAGAATGCTAAGGCCTTCACACTTTAGGACAAATGAGAAAGGAACATACTGATAAGAGTTACGTATGACCTGAAGAAATCCAGAGCTGTTAAATATAGGAAAAACTGAGAGAAAATTTAGAACTAAGGGTATCCAGGAAAAGACATGAGAATTTTGAAAAAGGGGATTGATTTATTAAAAAGGAACAAAACTTAGGGTTTGAGCTAAATTGATCATAAAGTATCTTTTCATCTTATAAAGAAACAAATCCTTATGCTATCAAAAATTGAGTATCAATTTAGAAGCAACCAATCCTATAAAGGGTTTGCCTCTGGTTTTTATATATATGTATATATATAAAAATATATATATACATATATATATATATATACACACACACACATATATATACCTTTCCCTTAAGTGCTGAGCTTTTTGGTTGGGGTCACTGAGTAAGAAGTAAGTAATTATGTCAGCTGGAAGACATAAAAAGTTTAGGCCCATAAAATTGTTCTCAAAAGGGTCTAGATTCCAAAGCACACTCAACAAAAAGTTGTGAAGCATAAGTGTATACAGAAGGCCTAAGTTAGGAGGCCAAGAATAGAAAGTCAAGGGATGCCTCACTGAAATACAGACCAGAAGATAAAAACCTATCAATTGTTGGAAGTGAAGGGTTCTGAGGAATAGGATACCACGTGGTTATAAGCAGATAGGAAAAACATTTTAGGCAATAGTATAAAATATAAAATAGAAGGAAAGGAGAAACTCAGCATCCAAGGGTCTCTAATTCATCTATCAAAAGGTACTAAACTGGTTTTCAGGGTTTATCACTTAGAATCCTGAGTAAACCATAGTCAAAATAGGCTGGACAACCTACTGAAAGGGCTACAAAGCTGTATCCTGCCTCACCTGGAAAGGCCAAGTAGGAGAAAGTTGTCTAGGACAAGTTGATGCTAACATACCCTTCATGGGCTCAGCTGAGAGTAAAACAGATCTCCTAGGATCTATGACTTTAGGAAGAGGTAACTCCAGCTGTACCCATTTGTGGCTTCTGTGTGACTGAGCTGAGAACAGCTCAAAAGAAACAGAAAGGAGAAAAGGTGAGAAAAAGAGAATACCATCTTTTTCCCTATTCTTCCTTCTCCAATTACCCATTTTTTTTCTAGTAGTGACAATGAGTGCCTGTCCACTGTCTTCCTGATTTCCCATGTTTCAGGAGAGCTAAGTTTGGGCTAAAAATAACTATTAAACAGATCGATAATTTTATTAGCATCATGCTCTAATTAAATGAGCCAACTGGTAGAAAAACTTTGATAATCAGAGAACTTAAGGCAAAGAGCAAAATTTTAAAAATAGACATTGCCAGAATACATAATACATACTTCATTACCTTAACAGAAATTAACTGACTAGAATTCCGAACATCAGGGATCCACAAAGAGAACACATTCCCCCGAAAGACTATAGAGCCATGAATTTGAGGGTCTAGGCTACACAGTATTTTGTCCTTGCTATTTCCAGGTACAGTTACTTCCACCAATTATAGCAACTTCCTTTGCTCTATATGTTAGTACTAAATTCTTTTAGATACTAATGAGTGTCTCACAACAATATCAAACCTTCTAGAGCTTAACAAGATCACTTAATGTGCTAATCACCCCTATTTAATTTTGATTCACATAAAACATTCAAATATTATATCATGTCATTAAACTGAAAATACAAAGATGAATACAAACTAGCAGTATATTCAGGGTTGAAATCACTGAACTGATGTCAGAAGAAAAGTTATTTATCCTTCTAGTAAAAAAAAAAAAAGGGAACACAAGTAGTAAAACAGACTTCAAAAATAAAGACAGGGTCAGAGAGAGTTACTTTATGAAACTGAAGTTAATTAAATTAACACATAATGGTATTATTTCCATTCCATCCTACAGTGTGATTTGAAAGCAGTTTTATTCGTGTGATTAAAGCATGTTTAACATCCAAAGATACAGGTAGACACAACTTAAGAGTTATTTATGTTTGGCTGGCTTTTTTTAAAGGGAAATTTTACTATAACAAACTTATGAAAACACTTTCTAAAACGAAATGTTTCAGGTAATTCACACTCTCTCATCCTTACTCACCATGAAAATGAACTATCAAAGTCCAATTATTCTAAGTAATGAATGTTTCTACTATTACTAGCTAGTCATAAAATCTCTAAGAAAAAAGTAGTCAGCATGTTTATATCAATCTGACACCAAAATATTCAATGAATAGTTAAAGAACATAATTGAGATTCAGAAAAATAACAATAAATTATAAATTGTTTGGTATATCATACAAAACAACTTACCTTGTAGTTTTTTCAATACAGCAACCTCCATTTTCAGAACTTGTTTTGGTTGTTGAGCTGATTCCACCTTCAGAGCAACATTTTCCCTGGTAAGCATGTCCAAGGCATCGTAAATTTCTCCAAAGCCCCCACCCCCAATCTTCCTCAACTGTACAGGAAATAAGAACGAACACATACAAAATTACCAGAAGATTCTAAATGGAAACTAATTAGTCTTTGATACTTAAAAATTTATATATAATTTTATTATTTCTATTTTATGATAAAAAAGATCTCAATATTGTTAAATTAACCACGAATATGCCAAGAAGAAAACAAATGCCTAGAAATAACACTAGAGCATTTTCCCATAGGTTTGTCTTCAACAGGTAATATAATTATTTCAGCCACAAACAATTTTAAAGTTTGGTCTACAGCCAGCATCAGAACTGCCACAAAAAACACAGTATCTGAAAGCTTCACTACTACATAGGATGTGATATAATGCAGGCACGGGAGGCATCGAGTTCTAAATCCTAACACCCCTAGAGGCCTCACCTCACTTCCACTTCTTTCTATACTGCAACAATATTGATTACTGCATCTAGAATGATTTCTTTATATTCTGAATTTCTTTAAGAATTATATGCTTAATCACTAAATTAACCATTTTATTAGGCTAAATACCTCAGACAGCACTTGAAATAACACACCATCCTGCTTTTTTTTCTTTTTTTAAAGAAATCTGTTTAAAAAATTATTTATGTATTTATTTATTTTTAGAGAGAAGGGAAGGGAAGAAGAGAGGGAAAGAAACATCAATATGTGGTTGCCTCTTGCGCGCCCCCTACTGGGAACCTGGTGCGTAACCCAGGCATGTGCCCTGACTGGGAATTGAACTGGCAACCCTTTGCTTCACAGGCCAGTGCTCAGTCCACTGAGACACACTCAAGCAGAGCCTGCTTTTTTATTTCTTATGTTGCTTAACATTCCAACTTTCCATTGTCAATGTCCTAGCTCCGACAGTGAAACTAAGCTTCTTCAAAGAGAAAGCCATCTATTTTTTGTCTTCCCCATAACATTTGGCAAAGTGACAACTACATATACAGGGTGGGGCAAAAGTAGGTTTACAGTTGTTCATATGGAAAATAATAATACATTAATAAATAATAGTGCAAGAATAAACTATTATGCAAACCCAGGACTGTAAACCTACTTTTGCCCCACCCTGTACTGCTACATAATTATTCACTGCTTTGTATATACGAATGATAATCCTTCTTTATTCTGGTTTGGTCACAGGAAGAGATACCATGAGGAACTTTGGTATGAATTTAGGAATAAAAAAAGTTACAGAACTTAATTTTGGTTAAATAAATCACTCTTTGTTAGGTTCTGATTGGAACTTATGAGTCTTAATTTTTTTTCATTAAATAAAGCCTAGTATAACTTTAAAAATTCATAAACAGTAACAAAGGGACATCTTTCTAAATATGGATTGTGATGAGAGGTGAGTTCATGTTTTACATCACAGAAAAACCTTACCAAATGATGGAACAGGGTCAAAATGGCAGTGTAGGTAAACATGGTATTCACCTCCTCCCACAACCACATTAAAATTATAACTACAGAAAAACCATCATTCAGAAATGCCTGAAATCTGGCTGAACCGAAGTCCTACAGCTAGGAAATTTAAAAAGCCACATCGAGACTGGTAGGTCTAACCCAGTGGATAGCTTAAGACCATGTCAGGCACCACCCAACCTCTACCACAAGCAACACACTCAAGGGGCAGACTCAGGGGGCACCAGAGGCCCACTGAAGTAAATCATTCTCTGTGGGGAGTGCTGCTACACAGCTAATCCTCCATGATGGTTAGAGGTTGATGGTCAATGGTCATAGCCAGTATGTGTAGCTGATTGGCCTGGGGGTAAATTTCTCCCATTTACGTGCCAACTGCAATCAAGGTTCAACTACAAGAGATGGGTATACACAGCCTATGTGTGTGGCACACTTGAATGTCTAACTACAGTGATCAGGGAGGCTGTGTCACTGAACCCTACAGAATATGTACTATATAAGACCACTCTACCATTCCTGGGAGATGTAGCAGCCCTACCTAATGCTCAGAAACAAATACAAGGAGGCTGCCAATATGATGAGACAAAGAAACATGGTCCAAATGAAAGAACAGAATAAAACTCGAGAAAAAAGAACTAAACAAAATGGCGACAAGCAATCTACTAAATGCAGAGTTCAAAACACTGATTATAGGGATGCTCAGTGAACTTAGTGAGAACTTCAACAAAAAGATAGAAAACATAAGAGTGAAACTAGCCCTTGCTGGTGTGGCTCAGTGGATTGATTGCTGGCCTACAAACCAAAGGGCCACTGGTTTAATTCCCAGTCAGGGCACATGCCTGGGTTGTGGGCCACATGCTCAGTAGGGGTGCTCCAGAGGCAACCACACATTGATGTTTCTCTCCCTTTCTCCTTCCTTTCTCCTCTCTCTAAAAATGAATAAATGAAATTTAAAAAAAAAAAAAGAGTGGAACTAGAAAACATAAAAAAGAACCAGTGAAAAAAATAAAGGATACATTAACTGAAATGAAGACTACATTACAGGGAATCAACAGTACAGTAGATGAAGCAAAGGATCAAATCAGAGATTTGAAAGATAAGGAAGCAGAAAACACCCAATCAGAAGAGCAAAAAGATAAAAGAATCCCAAAAAATGAGGGTAGCGTAAGGAGCCTCTGGGACAACTTCAAGCATACCAACAGTCATATCATGGGGCTGCTAAAAGGAGAAGAGAGCAAGGATTTGAAAACCTATTTGAAAACATAATCACAGAAAACTTCCCTAACTTGGTGAAATAGGCATACAACTCCAGGAAACAGAGTCCCAAACAAGATGAATCCTAAGAGGCTCATACCAAGACACATCGTAATTAAAGTGCAAAGGTTAAAGGGAGAGAATCTTAAAAGCAGCAAGAAAAAAGCATTTAGTTACCTACAGGGGGGCTCCCATAAGACTGTCAGCAGATTTCTCAACAGAAACTTTGCAGACCAGAAGGGACTGGCAAGAGACATCCAAAGTGATGAAAAGCAAGACCCTACAACCAAGATTACTCTATCCAACAAAGCTATCATTTAGAATCAAAGGGCAGAAAGAGCTTCCCAGACAAGAAAAAGCTAAAGGGGTTCATCATCATCAAGTCATTATTGTATGAAGTGTTAAAATGTTTTTAAGAAGAAAAAATAAAAAATATGAAAAACAAAATGGCAATACATGTCTAGCAACGATTGAATCTAAAAAATAAAATGAACATGCAGAACAGAAACAGACTCTTAGATACAGAGAACATTTTGATGGTTGCCAGATGGGAGGGGTCTGGGGGAATGGGTAAAACAGGTGAAGGGATTAAGAGATACAAATTGGTTGTTACCGAATAGTCATGGGGATGATGTAAAGTACAGCATAGGGAATATAGTCAATAATATTCTAATAACTATGTATGGTGTCAGATGGATGAGAGATTTATTGAGGTGATCACTTAGTAAGTTATGTAATATCTAATCACTGGGGTGTATGCCTGCAACTAGTATAACAATGTATGTCACCCGTAATTGAAAAAGAAAAAATTAAATAAAATAAACCTGAAACAAAAAAATCTAAAGTAAATGATTTTCCTTTTTGGTCTATTCCTATAATGCCATTTGAATAATAGTAGAGCATTAATTTTTTATTGAGCTTGACAAAACCCTGAGACATCAGTGCTTATGACGGAAAGCAACAGAGACAGTTTAGTACAATGGGGGTATGCAGACTACAGAAAGACTAAAAGTAAGGCTTATGACAGATTGTGTTTTCTAAAGACGGCCACAACAACACTGCCCATCATTTTGGCTCCTTCAGTGTGACCTTGCCTCTCTCCCATCAAGAGGTAGGTTGCATTTCCCCACCGGCTTAAATCTGTGTGGATCTTGGGACTGCTTTAGCCAATAGAACATGGCAAAGTAACATTGTATCAGTTCTAATAATAGCCCTTAACCAGCCTTATAGCTTCTGTTACCTGTTTCTTAAGAGCCAGCCACCTGAAAAGCTACAGCCCTATGAAGCGGTCCTAAAAAAATGAGCCACCTGGTTGGGGGCTGAGGAAACTAGGGATCCCCAAGGCACCAAACAAAACATCTGAAGTTGATTCCTCCAACTCAACCAACCCTGCTAGTACCACATGGTTAAGGGACAAACCACCCAAGGAAACTTCCCAAATTCCTAATCCATAAAATTGTGACTAAAATGAATAATTGTTTTAAGCCTCTAAGCTTTTATGTACTTTGGTATATAACAGCAGATAATCAAAACACAAGCCTTAACAATGAGTGTGTAATTTCTCATTAAAATGGCCACTATGCCTCCCAAACTTGGGTGACATGCTCCACACACATATATTAACTCTAATTATCACAGAAGAGCAACTATGTTAGGCATAGTTTCATTTGCCACCTTTTGATATGTCTCCTGGCGAACAACCAACCTTTATCACAGCACTTAGTACAAAGCTCTCACCTAAGCAATACTCATTACTGACTTACATAAAACATTACCAATTGCTGGAATCTCCCTGCACCAGTCTGTGATGATAGCATAGTCTTTTTCTTATTTACTCAAGTAAATTTTCAAATCCTATTGATTTAACTAATCAGTAAAACACTGTACCATAAAAATAAAATTTTTATTTCTAAAAGAAGAATCTTCTTTTTTCAGTCTGTTCATAGATTACGGAAGCCATTAAAATAGCTTTGCTAAACCTGCCAATGGAAAAAACTTTGGATTCCAAGACCAGGGCAAGAAAGCCATCAAAAGACTCTTATAATCATGTTAACAGAACTCAGGAGGCAACTTGAAGGGTGTCCCCTTAGTCACAGACAATTTGAGCTTCAACAAGGTAATAACTACAATAAACTAGAACATATTAAATGTGTTTAAATCCATGATTAATTATATTTTTAAAAATCTCACGAGTCACTTTCAGACAATGCAAGGGAACCATTTCAGTATATATTTTTTTATCCTCACCCAAGGACACGCTTATTGATTTCTGTTTTTTTAAGAGAGAGGTTAAAGGAGGAAAAGAGAGAGGGAGAGAAACATTGATCAGTTGCCCCTCGTACACGCCCTGACTGGAAACCAAATTCACAACTTAGGCATGTGCCCTGACGGAGAACCAAACCTACTACCTTTCGGTTTATGGGACCATCAATGCTCCAACCACCTGAGATACAGCAGCCAGTGCCCAATTCATTATTTTGAAAATTGGTAAATTAAGAAAAAGAATCAAGCATTTATTCTCTTTTCCTAATCAAATTGTATCTTAAAGAATCAAAGAGTTGATGAGAAATTTTATCATCACATACTTTATAAATGTACTTTAATAAATGAAAGAATGCTAGAATATCACCAACCTGCAATTCCTAGTGAATTGACAGACCTACACAATGATGACCCATTGTACTAACACCACAAAAATGACGGGGAATCTGACACTATGTGCCTCCTACTGAAAGTCTACAATACCCTTTCTAAAAAATGCCCACCTCAGATTAGATCTGATCTCAGATTTAATCAAACCTCTATATAGAATTAACAATTTACATAAACCACATGACAGAGGAACATGGTAACACTATGGAAGCAATCAGAAGAACTCAAACCATGGGAAACTGTACAGGCAAATGGCCTCGTTTCTCCAACTAATAAATTGTAAGTGAAAAGAAATTTTTAAAAAACCTAAAAATTAAATAACTTAAGTGATATATCACCAATTGCAACATCCAGACATTTCTGAATTTGATTCAAATCATTAAAAAATTATTCTGATATATCACCTTGGGCAAGGGAGACAAAAGAAACAAATAAACAAATGGGACTTCATCAAACTGAAAAGTTTTTGCATGAAAGGAAAATCATTAATAAAATGAAAAGAAAACCCATTGAATGGGAGAACATATACACTGATACATCTGATAAAGGGTTAATACCCAAAATTTATAAAGAATTTATAAAACTCAACACCAAAAACACAAACAATGCAATTAAAATAAGCAAAGAACCTGACTGAATAGACACTTCTCCAACGAGGACTTACACATGGCCAATACACATATGAAAAGCACTCAACATCATTAATCATCAGAGAAATGCACATTAAAACCACAATGAGGTATCACCTCACACCTATCAGAATGGCTATCATCAATAAATCAACAAACAAGTGTTGGCAACGGTATGGAAAAAAGGGACCCCTCATGCATTGTAAGTAATAATGCAGACTGGTGTAGCCACTGTTGGAGTCACCTCAAAAAAATTAAAAATTAAACTGCTTCAAGACCCAGCAATACCACTTCTAGAAATATATCCAAAAAACCCCAAAACACTAATTTGAAAGAGCACCCCTATGTTCATTGCAGCATTATTTACAGTAGCCAAGATTTGGAGCAGCCCAAGTGTTCATCAGTAGATGAATGTATAAAAAAAAGTTGTGGTACATTTATATAATGGAATACTACTCGGCAGTAAAAATAAAGGAAATCTTTCCTTTGCAACAGCATGGATGGATCTGGAGAGCATTATGCTAAGTGAAATAAGCAAGTCAGAAAAAAACAAGTACCATATGATTTCACTCATGTAGAATCTAGTGAACAAAATAAACTAACAAACAAAATAGAAACACTTATAGATACAGAGAACAGATTGAAAATTGTCAGAGGGGAGGAGAGTTGCAGGGCTGAGTGAAAAAAGTGAAGGGATTAAACAAAACAAACAAAACACACACACACACACACAAATAAAACCCTTACAGAAACAAACAACAGCATGGTGATTATTACAGGGGAAGAGGACTGCAGGCAGGTAGAAGAGAGTATGGGGGAATAAATGGTCATGGAAGGAGACTTGACTTGGGGAGGTGAATGCACAAAACAATATACAGATGATGTATTATAATACTGTACACCTGAAACCTATATAATTTTACTAAGCAATATCAACCTAATAAATTCAATTTAAAATACTAATAATTTACAAAACAATTAAGGCAGCCCACACCAGTGTGGCTCAACTGGTTGAGCATCAACCCTCAAAGCAAAGGTCACTGGTTTGATTCCTAGTCAGGAGCACATGCTGAGGTTGTGGGTTAGGTCCCTGGTTGAGGTGCATATGAAAAGCAACCAATTGATGTTTCTTTCTCACATGATGTTGCTCTCCCCCTCTCTCTCTCTCTGACTTGCCCTCTCTCTAAATAAAATCTTACACACACACACACACAAAAATCAGGGGAATGTAAAATCTGGAAGGATACTTAATGATATTAGGAAATTATTATTTTTTAGGTATAATAATGATATTATGTTTTAAAAACAAGTCTTTATTTTTTTAGAGATACACACTGGGCCCTGGCAGAGTAGATTAGTTGGTTAGAGCATTGTCCTTATAGGCCAAGGTTTGATCCCCGGTCAGGGAACATGTAAGAATCACATAATAAATGCATAAATAAGTGGAACAACAAACCAATGTCTGTCTGTCTGTCTCTCTCTCTCTCTAAAATTAATACATATTGAAGTACATATAGAAAAAATGCTAAGGGAAAAGATATGCTTAAAAAGAGTTTGAGAGGGAGATTAAAAAGATGAAACTAGATGGACCATAAATGACAGCTGTTTAAGCTGGGGCATGAGTACGTGGAGGCTCACTATGTCAGCGTCACTATTTTTATGTATGCTTACAATTTTCCTTAATAAAGGTTTAAAAAGAAAGAGCAGTTCATTGTACTATATTTTTAAAAATTTGTTCTTTTCCTAAGTACACTTTTATTTACATTATTCAATATTGGCTATCAGAAGTTAGAAAAATTTACTATTATATAAAGCAAGAGTAAGAATTAAAGCATAAACTAAAGAATCATAGGTAAAAAACTGAAAATAACTGCTTTAGCAAGCAATCTATGTATTATTCTGTAATGAAACACTATTTTTTATCAAGACACTAAAAATTACCCTCCAAAGATGCTCTCTCTTCCTCTCTCCAACCTCTGAGATGTACACTTACCACTTTCCATCTTTCTTTGACCAGAATACCAACACTGAGGATATCCGGTTGCTCTCCTCCTCCACTCATTGCAATTCACTGATATGATAGAAAGGCTACACAGGCATCCAGCTCCTAAGGGTGGTTTCCATTTAACCTAGAACAAAAGAAACAGCAACAGCATATCAGGGCTAACTAATTAATACAAACATACCAGCACCAAGTAGCACTGCTAATCCTACACACTGATTAAGTTGCTTTGTTGAAAAGGAAGGGGGGGACCCACAAACTCAGTTCCAAAAGCTGTTAAGTGCATATTTTTAAGAAGTTCTTACCTTTCCATTACAGATACCCAATGAAATAGCTAGACATTACAAAAACATTACATTATAACACATATAATTTACAATAGCTGAGATTGCTAACCTACAGGGAAGGTATGGTGTCAACAGCACTTGATCCAGACCACTATCCTAAGTAGAACATACTGCTAAAGAAAAAGATATGGTATCCAATTTACAACAGCTTAAAGTTTAATAGGTTTTCAGTTAGAGCTTATAATCATCAGGGCTAACAAAATTTTACAACGTTACATAATGCACTTAAAATGCATTGGAAATAAACATGAGCCATAAAAAAGGGCTGTTGATCAAACGCAATACAAATATATTGTAAGAAAAAGAGAACAACATAAACAGCCAGCCTACAGTAAATTAATATACAGCAGAAAAATATGGCCTAAAGGAGATAAAAACTATGACTTAATATTATGGGACTAACATAAGAAACAGAAGCTTTAAGGTAACATAAATCATAATTAGAAAAGCTCTTAAATGAGAGAGCTATGAAACAGGAAGGCATAAATGGAAACCTGAGTGAACTCAGAAAAGGATTGGAAATGAAAGAAAAAGAAATAAAGGCTCAACTAGAAAGGCTTACTAGAAATGTAAGAGGAGACACCATACAAATAGTGGTGAAAAAAAGAGAAAAATGAAAAAACATTTTTTTTATTTAAAAATCAAGTGATTTTAAAAAGGCAAAGTAAATACAAAATACATACTATAGAAGGCCCTACAATAGGAAACATATGAGACCAAATATTAGCCACAGTAGTTCAAGAAAATTTTCTAGAAATAAAAAAAGGCTAAATCTGCACATTGACATGGTATACCACATACCTCAGAAAACAACTCAGAAGCTCAACACCAAGACATAGCCTAATAAAACTACTAGATTTTAAAGGAGAAAAAAATTTCACTGGGCATCACGCAGAAAGTACTGATTACTTATAACAGAAAGAAAATTAGACTGACAGCAAACACTGGCACACACAGGTTGTATTAGGAGGCAATAGAATTATATATTTAAATACCGAAGAAAATAAAATGTGAGCCAAGGATGTTCTATCCTGCCAAACTAATCTTCAAGACCAAATGAAATAAGCAGTTATGAACACACAGAATTCAAAGAACACTGTTCCCAGGAAACGCCCCTAGGAATCAGCTACGTACCAAGTATCAGACAATCAAGAAATTATGGTATAAGATTTGGCATAAGGATTGGCCTGAAAAGGCCTAAAAGCAATGATAACCCAGTAGCAAGCAGCACCCCTACTTCTAGATTGTAGACTCTAAACATCATTTCCAACTAAAATAAATCAGGGCTCCTTAAAGAAATGGCTTACTCCAGGTTTGGCACAGGAAACTGTATACGAACTAAATATATGACATCTTGTCAAATGAGAAAGCAAAAATGTTAACAACACTACTACAGGCAGGTCAAAAGGAAATCAGAGACAACTAACAGAATTCTCATTTGCCAAACATGAAATAATTTGAGCATACACAAGAAAAGTAATTGCAATGATTGGAAAACATCAAAAATATAGATGCCCATAAATTCATAATAACACTCAAAAAAGAAAAAAAAATCAATCCTCTTTGGTCAATTTTGGAGGTTGCAAGAAAATAACTATTTTGAAAGTTGGAAAGTAAGTAGAAAGAATCAAGCATTTATCCTGTCTTTCTGATATGAAGAGTAGTTCTAGAAAAACCAAAGAGATGATGAGGGCAGCTTATTCAATCAATCATGGCTAATAAATGCAGAAGAAATGAACAAATAAGAAAATCACCTAGACTTACGAATTCCAATTCCCTGGTGAAATAATGACTCTAGGCAACAACCATCAACAGCTGCTAAAATCATAAAGTACATAAAATGGAAGGGGATCTTTAATACAAAAGGATCAAGTGAAACCCACTGATCAATCTGAACATCACTAAAACGCAAGACAAAAACATCAGTGCTTCCTGATATAACACAATAAAATCTTCTCAGTACCACCTAAAAACTATCCTACCAAAAAAAGAGAAAAAAGAGCCTAACTCTAATCAAACATCTAAATTTAATTATCAGGTTATAAAAATAAGGGACAAGGAGCATATGTTAAATGTCAACATGAGGATACAATGAGCTAAATCCATAATGCCGAATATCCTAAAGCAGTGGTCCCCACGTTTGTGCATGGGAGCGATTGGGGTTGGGGTTGCAGAGGAGACAGACAGGAGTTTCCCTCACAGCTGGTGCTTAACAGGCTGTGGACCAAGTACCATGACCTGAGGGTTGGGGACCCCTGTCCTAAAAGACAGTAAATCCCAGTTTCTCTAACAAATGGCATAGAAAATAAAAGAGCTTATATTACACATCACAAGAAACAAGATATACAACAACCTATGGCAAGATCTAGAAAGTAATAGAAAAACATTTTTAAAGTACTGAAAATAAAAAGCACTGTCAGCCAAGAATTCTGTATTGAGGGGTAATCCTGGAAAGACATCCTCAGGTGTAGAAGAATTAAGATTATGTGTTCTCAGACGAGCTTCTGGGAAAGAATTATCCCAGAAAAATTCTTCTGAGAAAGGGGTACAAAGGGAAACAGAACAACAGGAATGAAGAAAGAGCAACATAAATCTACATAAATATTACAGACTCATCTCCTCTTACATTCTTTAAAATATGCTTGCCAACAGCAAAAATTATAACACTGTCTGAAAAAATTTTTCCATATACACAGATATAATTCAAAAGACTACTACAACATAAAGGTGGAATGTTAAAGAGATCTATATGATGGTGATCACATTTCTGCATCCCCCTTGGGCTAGTAATATAATTTTAGTAGACTTTGAAAAACTAGGTATGTATATTGTAAACCCTCCATCCACCACTTAAAATACAACTATTCAGTAAAACATAGTGAAAAGGAAAAACAGATGAGATAAAATAGAACACCAAAACATGTTAAGATAACCCAAAAGAAGGTAGGAAAGAAGAAATAAAAGAATAAAAACAGAGGACATAAATATAAAACAAATAATGTTTTACCTAAATTCAAATACATCTGTAATCACTTTATTTATTAATGGTTTATGAAACTAAAAATAAAATATAGGAAATTGGACAGATAAGTGCAAAAAATGAAACAAGACTACCTTCTTACACAACACACAAGAATAAATTCAAAATGGATTAAAATGTAAATGTTAGACCTGAAACCATAAAAATCATAGAAGAAAATACAGGCAGTAAAATCTCAGGCATTGCTCATAGTGATATTTAATCTGATATATCTCTTCAGGCAAGGGAAACAAAAGGGAAAATAAATGGGACTACATCAAACTAAAAAGTTTTTGCACAGCAAAGGAAATCAACAACAAAACAAAAAGACAACTGGCAGAATGGAAGGACATATTCACCAATACACTGATAAGGGGTTAATATTCAAAATTTATTAAAAACTTACAAAACTCAATACCAAAAAAACAAACAACCCAATTAAAAAATGGGCAAAGGACCCAAATTGATACTTCTCCAAGAGGACAGAAAGATGGCCAATAGACATATGAAAACAGGCTCAACATCACTAATCATCAGAGAAATGCAAAGTAAAACCACAATGAGATATCATATCATACCTGTCAGAATGGCTTTCATCAGTAAATCAACAAACAAGTGCTGGTGAGGATGTGAAGAAAGGGGAACCCTTTTGCATTGTTGGTGGGAATGTAGATTGGTACAGCCACTGTGGAAAGCAGTATGGAGATACCTCAAAAAATTAAAAGTGGATCTGCCTTTTGACCCAGAGATTCCACTTCTGGGAATGTATCTGAAGGAACCCCAAATACTAATTTGAAAGAACATAAGCACCCCATGTTCACTGCAGCATTATTTACAATCGCCAAGATACGGAAGCAGCCCAAGTGTTCATCAGTAAGTGAGGGGATAAAACTATGGCACATTTACACAACAGATTACAACTTGGCTGTAAAAAAGAAGAAAGTTTTACTCTTTGTAAAGTATAGATAGACCTGGAGAACATTGTGCAAAGTGAAATAAGCCAGTCAGAGAAAGACAAATACCATCTGATTTCACTAATATGTAGAATCTAATGAACAAACTGAACTACCAAGCAAAATAGGGACAGACTCCTAGATAGAGAGCAGGATGACAGCTAAGGAAAGAAGAGAAGGGGGTGGAGGGATTGAGCAAAAAGGAAAAAGGATGCATAGACATAGGCAACAGTGTGGGGATTGTGGGTGGGTGGGGCAAGTGGAGTATAAGGGAACTAAATGGTAATGCAAAAGAATACAATAAAAAAAAAACATGAAAGAAAAAACTCGCTGGCAAACATTCAGTAAAAGTAGTGGCTCATACACTTATAAAGCTAGCATAAAGGTTAAAAGACAAAAGTAGTAAAATCATTTTTATCTACAATAATTAAAAGGGATACACACATACAGAAAAGAGATGGAAAATATGATATCAAAAACAAAACGAGGGGGAGGGTGATGAGTAAATATGGAGTCCTCTTAGACTGTGTTCAAACTTAAGCAACCATCAATGTAAAATAGACTGCTGTAAATGTAAGTTGTTATACGTGAATCTCATGGTGACCATAAACCAAAAACCTATAAAACACACACACACACACACACACACACACACACACACACACACACACACACAAATGAGAAAGGAATCCTAAGATAACATTAAAGGAAGTAACCAGGACACAAGGGAGGAGAGCAAGAGAAGAAAGAAACAGAGAAGAACTACAAAAACTTCCAAAAAAATAATGAATAAAATGGCAGTAACTAC